CTCCTCGCTGAGCAGGGAGCCCAATGCGGGACTCGATCCCGGGACTCCAGGATCATGACCTGAGCCGAAGGCAGTCGCTTAACCAACTGAGCCACCCAGGCGTCCGAGATACTCCCACTTTTAAATGGGAGGTCTCTGAGGAAGGGCTGGGTCAGACCTCTCACCAGCTGTTCACTGTCTGTGAGGGGTCTGCCACATTTGTGGAGAAAGTGTTTATCAGAAATCTGCTGGTTATAGAGAAGAAAGGGTCAGGTCCCTCATTCTGGAAGAGAGTGATGAGGTAAAACTCAAATTAGAAATCTGCTTTCCTTCCTAAGGGAGAGGAGGCAGCTTTCTTCAGTTGACTATGGTGTGTGACTCATGGCCAATCACATCCACGGCAGTATCCCAGGTGCAGGTCTGGTAGGAAATCCACATTGAAGTTTCTGTGGCTCAGGCCCTGTGGCTCTAGAATGGGCCAAAGAAAGGCAGGGGTTGAGGGTCTTAAGTCCCATCTAGGAGATATCTCACTTTGCAAAAATGTCCCCCAACTTTCTTCCCACTGAACTTTTGCATAATGAAGTGGTAAAAGCTTGGGAGAATCCAAGAACTGGGTCCTAGTCCAGCCGTTCCCCTAAACAGCTGTGTGACTTTCAGGGGAAGTTACTACCTTTTCTAGGGCTCAAGTTTTATCACTTGTACATGAAAATCTCTCAGAAATCTTTCTTTCAAAATCCTATTTCAAATAGTTAAGGAGATAGAATAGAATAGTGATTTCAGAGTGTGGGCTTTGAAAAGAGAACTACCCAAGTTTGAATCCTGGACCCTTCATTTATTGGCTTTGTGACCTTGGATAAAGCACTTATATGTGGCTCAGCAGAGATGACAATGGCACCCCTCTCCTGGGGTTATTATGAGAATTAAATGAAGAACCTAAAATATAACATATATATAGTATATCATAAATGCTCAAAAAAGGTTACCTGTTGTTATTAAGTAAGTAAGCAGCCTCAGGGCTTGGGTTCCCTACAGCTTCCAGCTTCGGCATCATCACTCCCTTTTCTAAAGATCAGTGCCTTCCTGGGATTATACTGCAACCTTGGAAGCCAAGTAATTGGATTCTGGAAATCCTTTAGTGAAGAAAGAAGAAAAGGGGTGGGGAGGGAAAAACTGTATAAACCAGCCCAGAAACAAATTACCCCCATTTGTCTTCTTATCATTTGAATGTTACAGAATCATAGCATAGGAGCACAGTTGATATTCATAATAATGGACCTGAACCATAAAGAAACAGTTATATTTAAGTCAGTATCCCACATGTTATTTAAGAAAGCTAGAAATATAATATATAAGAACTATCTGTAGAAATGACTAAAATAGGGGTGCCTGGGTGGCTCAGTCATTTTAGTGTCTGACTCTTGATTTTGGCTCAGGTCATGATCCTGGGGTCTTGGGGAGTCTGCTTTAGGATTCTTTCCCTCCCTCTGCCCTCCCCCCACCCAAATCAATAAATAATCTTTTTTCTTTTTTTTTTTTTTAAAGAAATGACTAAAATAAAACTGTGACAATTGGTAAGTCAGTTCTTTTTCTGGATCTCAGTTTCTCTACCTATAATATGAGATAGATCTAAATACCTTTTGAGCTCTGAAAATTTCTTTGAGTAGAATACTTCCATCCTTGGGGCGCCCAGGTGGCTCAGTCGTTAGGCATCTGCCTTCGGCTCGGGTCATTGTCCCGGGGTCCTGGGATCGAGCCCCACATCGGGCTCCCTGCTCTGCAGGAAGCCTGCTTCTCCCTCTCCCACTCCCCACTGCTTGTGTTCCCTCTCTGGCTATCTCTCTCTCTGTCAAATAAATAAATAAAATCTTTAAAAAAAAAAAAAGAATACTTCCATCCTTACTCATGCTGGATAAGTGGGAGCTTCTGGACCAGTAGACTTACTTTGGGCATCCAAGTTGAGAGTAGCCCCCTTCTGTGGGATGCTATCATACATAGCTCGTATGGGTGTTTTATACCTTCTGTAGCTGGCTCACATGTGTCAAACCTCTGGGCAAGTGCACGAATCTTTCTGTACATCAGGAATGTTAGTCACCAGAGAATTACAGTAGAGTAATTAAGAGAACAAAGATTAATTGCTTGTAGAAATACAAGCCCATTATTTAAATTTTGTACTTAATGAGAGGTGATAAAAAAAGATTTTCCTGGTTAAAAAAATATCAGACCTGTTGTTAGATTTTATAATTTTGTAAAGCTTAGGGATTAGCAGATTGTTGTTTGTCCCTGCCCTAGAGGAAGAGTGACAGGTGGTCCTTTTCTTCCCTTTAACCCTGAGAAATACAGAGAACATCTGGTTGCAGCTTAACTTATGATAGAGTAAGACAGCCTAATGCTACCCAGGTGAGATAAACAAAAATGGGTTGTTCTGGGATTCTGTGAGGATCCCTCAAGTACTTTTATAAATAGAAGTGTGCAAAACTCTCTTGGCCTTCTACAGGGAAGTCAGTTTAAACTAGAATGCAGAGGAGACCTGAGTTTAGCCTTGTCCTTGCCACTGACTTACCAAGTGACCTTGGGTAGATATCTTCCTGTTTCCGTGCCTCAGCATCTTCATGTGTAAAATGAAGGACTCAACAAAAAAACTACTAAGATGTCTTCTAGCAATGAAATTTAGATTATACAAAAGTGATATCTGAAGCATAAAAGTTCAATAACAAAGAGAAATCACCAAAAAAAACTTTCTACCCCACAGAAAGCATTAGCTCTTCTTTGGTACAAGCCCCTTCCTTTGCAAGCAATACATATTACAACTTAAATATTCTCAAGAAAAATCTAGAATGTATCAGAGTCAAGTCAAGAAACATATTAAGGAATGAGTTTTCCTAAATATAGGGACTCCTTCAAAAATCCCTTGTAGTAAAGCCAGACTGACTCAAGGATAAGCTTTTCTCTGCTCAGGATCATATTCAAAGCTACAACAGGTTATTGTGGAAAGCACACTGTGGTGGGAGTCAGGATACTCAGGGGTTAGTCCTATTCTGTCATAACATTATGTGACCTTGGAACCCGAGGTCTATCTCTAGACCTCTGGTTCCTCACTTATAGAATTAAGTTGAATCAGATGATATTTAGATCCCTTTCAATTCTAAGGTCACATGAAACCTGGAGTCTGCCCAATTGCAAAGTCTGAGAGTACAGTTGTCTACAATATTGCCCTCGCTCCTGACATGAACAGAAAGTTCAGAGAGTTCCCAAGAATTCTCTGGAAGGACTCACATACTTTACTGCAAGCTGTTACACTCACAGGTGCATTATAGGAAAGGATACAGATAAAAAATAAACCAAAGGAAGATGCACAGGGCAGAGTCTGGGAGTGTTCCAAACATGAAGATTCCATTGTCCTAACCTCCCAGCATCCATATGTAACAGTACACATGGTGCCAATCAGGGAAGCTCATCTGAGATTCATTGTTCACAGTTTCATTGGCTTTCATGTTGTAGGCATGCTTGATTGATTGACCACCTGCTTGAAATTGATCTCTAGCATCCCCATCCATGAAAGTCAGGTTAATACCTTGTGGCCCCAGGGACCACTGTGATTCACCTCATCAGCATGTATTATCAAATGTGGTCTGAGGGGCTTTCACCACAAATAAAAAGACACTCCTATTACTTATGAAATTCCAAGAATTTAGACTTATCTCCCAGGAGTGGGGGGAAAAAGACAGATTAATCTTTGGGCAAGGCCAAATTCTTTACTATATACATGATTAAATTAAGTTAGCAAATATCCCTCAAATATTTTTAGCCCTTTTTGTGCAAGGGCTATGCCTTATTCAACTGTGTTTCCACTGACTAGCACAGGCCTAGCTCAACGTGTGCGCTTAAAATTAGTTAATAGACTTAAGGCTACAGAGATAAATGAGATACAGTCCCTGTCAAAAATTGTTTATATTCTAAATTGAAATCATGACTGAATTCACAGAGGTCGTCACCATTTATCAGATGGTACCTTCTTGTATTCTCTGTCAGTTTCCTCCTGAACCTTGTGCCTTGACCCCAGGCCACCCTAAAGACAGAAAGTATACCAGAATCTGTCACATTTGGCAAAACGCTGCAACTTGGGCTTGAGGTCATGACTGTACTGGTCATATTTCCACCTCCCATTTCTCCCTGATGATAGCACATTTCCACTGGTTATGATTGAGGAGATATTTCAGTCATCCTGGCTCCAGGCCCGTGGAGCTGTCAGACCAGATTGCTTCCATATTCCCACTATTACATCTGCCAGTTTATCTGCATCTTTAGCCACATGAATCTCTTCTAAGGCCCACCCTCCACGGGTGATCTGGATCCCACCTCCTTTTTGCTCTCATGTTATCCCTCTCTTCTCTATCATCAATTTCTTCTTTTCTAGAAGATTATCACACCCACCCACACACATCTCCCATTTAGAAAAATAAAATAAAAGCCAATCCCACCATCCCACTGAAATTGCTCTTGTCAAAGTGACTCCATGTCACCTAGTTCTCATCTTCCCATCTTTTTATCTTGCATGATTTCTCAGTAACCTTGATGCAGTTGACCATGCTCCCTCTTTCTTGAAACACTTTCCTTCCAGTGATCCTGTTCTTGCCTCATTTTCATTCCACCTCATTGGTTTC